CGGGCTATCGTCTGTGTTACTCCTTCGAAACCTTTACAGTGTTGTCTGTAAAGTTTGAACAGTTGTGCACACAAACATACTTTACTCCGTATTTATCTCTTTTCACGGCTGATCTGAGAGTATTTAATGTCACACACCTCCATTTTTCTTACGTTGCGTTCCACATATATGCAAAATTACCGCTGTCAGGTGTTCAAACTTCAAACTCAAAGTTTTTTTGTCCGAGTTTTGTTTACTTTGTGAGTCGTGTGACACATCAGTAAGAGTCATGTCTGTTGTACATCCTTCACTTTCAAACATAGACACTTCTTTTCTCTATTTTTGTAACAAGAGAAGAAAAATATTTTCTTACCTGATCTGATGTAGATTGAAGTATCAAAATTACACTTACTCAAATATCAAATATTATCTTGGAACTTTAGATATTCTTTTACCCTCATATCATAAGAGCTTGTTTTCCCAAAAATCTTGTTTCGTTTTCAACAGAATTTTGGTGTATAAGGATTAAAGTTGTGTTTCAAAAAAGATAGGTGGGCCATGCTTACAAATAAATAATTACGCAGACAAGCAGTTTTGTAAAAACACAGTGCACTCTAGCAATGAATACAGTTTCTAACTTCTGGTCTGGATCATAGTTCTCTGCATCAATAGGAGATTTTGACCAACCATATTCGTCGGTTTTTAAAGTTACCAGGGGTCTCCCCTGAAATTTTTAGGGGAGAGGTGCTCCCTATAATCAGTTAAAGAAATCAGCGAATTTTTATGAAAATACGAGAAGAAAACCCTGAATTTGAACATTTTGGGAGAGGTGCTACTAGGATTTTTGGGAGAGGGGGAGCACCCTTGCTCCATTACTCGGGGAGAGCCCTGAAAGTCAGTCAGTTGAGAAGTGTGTGCATTATGGTGAAAGCACTCTGTTATCAGTGGCAGCTATTGACATCACATGGTGGTGGAGTGGTGCCCTTAATGCTAATGTAGGCAACATTCACATCTGTCGCGTGGAGAGGGCTGCTTTGATCACAGTTATTAAGATGGAAATGTCTGCGACTCACCAATTCACAACCTGCTGTTACACTGTATATAGTTAGACAGGGCTGGACATTCATTGTAGGGAATAGATGCTGAGTGTAACTTGCGACAAAAAAAATTGGGTGCACAGTATGAAATGAAAATTTAAGTTGAATATCAGCAAAGCATTATTACAAACAATACTGTGGCATGCCTGTCTTATAACTTGAAGATGAAATTAGGAGACAGGTATTTCTTTTTTTTACACAACTGGTAAATTCTCACCTTGCTGACTTTTCGGTGTCTGTCAGACACCTTCTTCAGAGCTTCTGACTAGTTCTACCAACCTGATGAAATTATTTTTGGTTGAACTTGAAGCTGAAATTTTATAGCTACTTGTAACTTCAATAAAGGTTTCTTTCTAATTCAACAAATATGCTGTATAGTATTAGTTCACTTCTATTGAGTAGTACCTTTATATTACGTCACTGGTAGTTTCCCGTAAACCTCACCAAACTGACCCAACTCCCCTGGCATGTTATCTGTCTATTCAGCCAATTTATTTTTGTTATACCTCTATTTGGCCAATTTTAACTCTTTCTAAATTCTAGCCACCTCCTGAAGCCTGTTAGAGGCTATGAATGAGGTCACCTGGTGGAGAATGTGGAATGTGGGTGGAGTCTGCAGGCGTACTTCCTTTGAAGTCTCACACAAACATCTTACTCAGTACTCACCCACTGTTGTTACAACCCTGAGAATCATCACAGCAACACAAGAAAACTGTTAGGAGTGTTACTCAATGTAAGGCTATTGGACAAAAATTTGAAGTTGTTCTAAACCTACTTACTTTACTTTATCCGGCCGCTTCTACCTCTATGGGGGCGTCACGGGGTTATATACCAAACAGAGCTATTTGGCCGATTTCTACTCTTTCCAGTCTTACACAAACATCCTACTCACCCACTGTTGTTTTAACCCTGAGAATCATTACATCAACACAAGAAAACTATTGCTCAACTTAGGGCTATTGGACAAAAATTTGAAGTTGTCCTAAGCCATTCCAAGTTATATACCAAACAGCTATACATTTGCCTTGGCCAATTTCTACTCTTTCCAGTCTTACACAAACATCCTACTTACCCACTGTTGTTACAACCCTGAGCATCATTACCACTGTACGTCAACACAAGAAAAAACTGTTATATTCAATTGCAGGCAACTGCATATAGATTTTGAAAACTGTCAGACGTTTCAACTTTCAAGTAGCATCCACTATTTATTTTTACCGATTTTTGTCAGTGACTGTGAATGAAGTAAAGACAACATTTCAATTTTCTCATTACCATAGACGTGTTTATCTAACGTTCATCGACACAAATTACATCAACAGTTTGGGCTTCCCTTGAAATTCGGTCCTTTCTGTGAAAACAAGCCTCCATTGTCTGGGAGTTAAGAAGGTGACCCAGTACTAGTGCTGTAGTTTGATCCCACGCAAACATTTTTCGGCTGTGATGTCATGTCGTGTGATCTGCCACAATTGTGTTTGTTATTACGGTGGATTATGTTCTGGACTGACTTGCGCGTGACATCACGTGGAGTTAGAAAGGATCATAAAAGAACCTAGTTCAATGCATATCTAGATCAGGCCACAACGATTTAATTTGTTGGTTCTTGGATTTTTTTCAGGAAAATATTATGAAGCGACAGAGCAAAAAAAAATAAAAACAGACCTAGGCATCCTATGATAGCACCAAATGCAATGATAGGAACCACAAAGTCAATACTGGGCTGGTTTGTAATTATAACAGTACAATATATATATAATTAATGAATTTCAGACTTTAATCAAACCACTGCATTGATAAATGGAAAATAATGTAACAACTCTGAAGAGAAGGACTTCCTACAACTGTTTGAGCCAAAATATGAGCATTTTGGAGTTGATTCAGAGCCTGAAATGTTTTTTTTATAATGGTACGAGTAGAATACATATTGTACTTAACAAACAGTGCCACCAAGCACCTAGTGACTGATGTCTGAATCTGAACATGGAGCTATTTTTAGCCGACAAGAGAGTGGAGGTAACTTTAATGAACAGCAACACAAATATTTGACGACGACTGCTGAACAAAGTTGATTTCACGTGTCTGACATAGGCTGTAAATTTTACTGCTTGTGCTAATATACTAGTATTGAATAAAACTCCTATAAAGTTATGTAAAGTGTATAGACTCAAATGATAGGTTTTAGTTTATTGGGTGAGCAAAGGTCTATTATCATAAATACCCGAGAGATGCACTGTAACTCTGTAAGTGTAACTACCCTGTTGTACAACAAAGGCCAATAGAGCTATAAAACAATAGAATAGCTCACCTGGTTAGGGCTCATGTGTTTATCCTTTTACAAGCTATGGTATCTGTTTGGCACCAGATTTGTCTTGGTTATGGGGTTAGGCAGCAGGGAGAAGGTTATGTTTCGTGCCTTTGAGTTTGACTGATTCTCCGAATCTTGCTTTAATTGTCCTACAGACATTTAACAAAGTTTTACTTGGTCTGGATCTAGAGTCTAAAATAATATTAAGTCATTTAGTTATGAGTCTATGAAATCAACACATTGGACCTTTTGTAGCATCTCAAAGGGAATTTTTGATTGCCGCCTTCCCAAATTTTTGCAGCTCTAAATACTTAAAAAGCTAGCTTTGAAGTTTGGGATGTGAATGTTGTCATAAACAGGAGAAATACCAGTCATTACTGTAGCAGTCACTCACATAATTGTATGGTGCAGGTGATAATGTATTTTTAAGTTTATAATTGTGAGAAACGGCTGGCTTTTATCTTAACACAACAACATTTAGCACAATGGATCATGTACTCCAAATAACCTGACCGTGTAGTAAAAAAAATCTTGACTAGGGGAGGTTTTGGCATGTGAAAATTCTGGGAAACTACTAGTACCTTGTACCTGATTTGTACCTGTATCCTGAAGTGTTATGTACTTATATTAGATTAGCTTCTCAAAGCTGAACTTTTCATCGCGAGTATTTTAGGTACGAGTACTTTCTGTATAATGAATATTTTATTTCAGGACGGACACCAGTGTCTTGCTTGTTCCTGTACATGTGTGAACCACTGGCACTGTATGTTGTGTGCATGTAATATTGTTGTAGTCAAGAAATGAAGCGTGATTGCGATCGTACTGTAACGAGTTTGGGAAAAGAGGGAGGGGGAAAGTATCAAAAAGTTTCTGTGATGAAACTTTAGGGATGGAATAGTGACCGCTAAAATCGCTTAAAGTGACCATCATCAAATCAAGAATTACAGTAATAAATTAAAATATTAATTTTCCTTCGATCTAACTCCTAAGCCGTTGTTTCTCCTTTTAGCAGATGCAGGTCCAGTAAGACCTTTAAGCCTAAGAAGCACATCCCTGAGGGCACGCACCAGTATGACCTGATGAAACACGCGGAGGCCCCCTGGCAGCTTGTTTTGGTACTGCAGCGGTTTATATCTCACGATCTTTTCTCCTTACAGCGGAAGCCGGTCCAGTAAGACCTTTAAGCCTAAGAAACACATCCCTGAGGGAACACACCAGTATGACCTGATGAAACACGCGGAGGCGACACTCGGCAGCGGGAACCTCAGACTGGCTGTGGTACTGCCGGAGGGAGAGGACCTCAACGAATGGGTCGCTGTAAACAGTACGTCTTGGGTCTTGTAAAAATTGAAATACCGATTATTGTAAAAAAAAATTGAGGATTGTGTTGTGAGAGATACTGAAAATGTTGTTTGAGGTTTTCAAATACTTTTGTTCTACCAGAAGGGGATGTCCCACTAGAAAGCCTTTTGACTAGACTTCAAAATATGATCTATTCATTGTGGATTCTTAAAATCGCAGAGTGTACAATATATTGATCACAAGAGCAACAAGTACATTCATAAAACTTAGTCCACTCAAAACTGCAGAGCAACATACAACATTCAAAATCACTTTTGTGAGGGTCACAGGTTAGATATGATACTATATACAGCTTCTAAGTATCTTACCACCAGTGCTTTAAGGGTATGTTTGTATCTATCTTATATGTCATAATGTCATTTAGGAGTTTCTTAATTAAACAACTTCTCGTAGCTTAGGACAAACTAATTTTTTCCTTGGTTCTCAGACATTTAAGGTGAAAATAGCATATTTGCCAACTCAGTTTCAAAAGGAGTAAAAAATAAAGTGGTAAAATGTGAGATGATAATTTTGGCAAGTCTGACTGTGTTGTTTTGTTGCCCCCACAGCGGTTGATTTCTTCAACCAGATCAACATGCTGTACGGCACCATCACAGAGTACTGTACAGAGGAGAGGTGTCCAGTCATGTCAGCAGGGCCCAAGTAAGTACTGTTTACACGGAACTGTCATGGTCGTACTGATTTTATCGTATGGATGACATCCTCTGGATGTTGCCTTCATTATGAAATCTAAGGGGTCACTAAGGAAGGATGAATATATGACTGAACACACTGTCACATCTAGCATGGTGACATGGTAATTGCCAAAGAGTAATTATTGTCCTTTCACATTGTCTTTGACTTTCAAAGACTTAGTGGTATAACCTTGTATCTTCAAATTTAATCATTCTTCAAGAACCTTGAGAAACAGCATGGTTGCGAACTTTTTTTAGTACCAAAAGAAACAGTATTGTCTCAAACCTTTTTTTTCTGAAATGGACAAAACTTGATGCCAATCCACATTACCAAGTCAGTGTAGCCCTACAGGGCACAGCCCACTAATTCCAGCCCCTATTGGAATATATGGAAAACATCTAAGAACTGAGCTGTCAACAATCACCTACTTGAGTGTTCAACTATTGCAAACACATATTGACAGGGTAGTCCAACTTCCAAATTGTCCATTTAGTCCAAAAATTTAACTTTTTGACCAGCGATACCTGGCACGGCAAATGCAAACACTGGCAGCATGACCTCTGACCCCCTTGAAGACCACCAAAAGACAAGAAGATGGGATTAGTTTTAGAACCTACCAAGCAGCCAAAACAACCCTAACAGCCAGTCTTTTCAAGTTAATAGAAATAGAAATAACTCTCCAGCTGGAAAATGCCAGCATTTATCCACACATACCAAGAAAAAGGCTTTTTCAGTTGGTTTGGCTGCACTCACTCAAAGGGGTCTCAGACTGGGCCCTCTGGGCATGCGCCATTTGGTGGCCTTTGCCCTACAGAGGAAACTGCTAACAGGAACACCCAGCCCTACCACACCTTCCTGTGCAAGTTACTGTTTCCTGCACGGGTGTTCACTGCTTCCTCTGTCAGGGAGAAAATGGTGGACAGTTTCAACAACAAAAGGATGTTTTCTCTCGAGCCTCCAAGCAGATGTTGGGTGGAAGGCTGTAACATTGTACAAAATAGCTCAAACAAAGATCCCTTAAATCTGCCCAGAAAAGAACAAGCATAGAACATGAGTTAAAAAACCGTTGTGTATTATAGCACATCTCATCATCATCATCATCATCATTCATCCTCCGTAGAGGTGGAGCATACAAAGTTAGCTCGCCACAACTGTCTGTCATACATCACTGAGAAAAGTTCATGTCCCTCCAAGCCAGTTTCAGTTTCAATAAGTCTCATATAAGGTTGTATTTGCGTATATAAGGCTAACGTCCCGTCTTTTATTTCCAAATGTTATGTCGGAAAAGATATCCTCTGCAATAGGCAAAATTTTGATGCAACGTAGACCAAAAATGCAACGAAATCCTTAAAAAATTAGGGTTTCGTGCAGGCGCAGTATGTTCAGTAGAGGTGGATTGGCCGCCCTACCATAAACTACGAAAGTTGGAATGATGTTTTAGTAACCCCCTCAGCCAGTCTGTACTTTGTACAGCAGCCAACCCCAGACTGCAGTTCCATCTACCAGATGGTCACTCTGGTGTGCCTCTCTCTGCCTCCATCTGTGAAATCGAAGTCAGACTAATGTTTCCTTCCTGCCGGGGTTTTTAATGCATTATCGACAGGCTGTTACAATATATCAACAAAATACATGTGTGTGTGGCAGGGTTTAGTTAGCATGCCAGGTATGGGAACTGGCACAATGTACTTCCGTTAACAATACCAGTATTTCAGGTTAGGCAAAAACAATAATTTAATTTGTTGGTTCTTGGATTTGCTGCTTCATTTTTTTCTGATTTGCAAAAAAGAAAAGATTCTGGTTCTGAATCAACAAAAAATTACTCATATTTTACCCACAATACTGGCAGCAGTTGAGAAAAGTCCTTTTCCTCCTAGTTTTTCCATCTGTCAATGCAGTGGTTTGATTAAAAATTCAAAATTCCTTGTTTAAATTTCAACCCAGCCTTTTGTGTTGACTTCATGGCTCTTATCGTAGCTATAGCATTTGGGGCTATATTAGGATGCCGAGACCTGTTTTTATTTTTTTTACGCACTGTTGCTTCATATTTTTTCTGAGAAAATCCGAGTACCTACAAATTGAATCTACCACTTAGACCTTAGACCTTAGTTCCTCCTGTGCCATATTCAGTGCATATGCAGTGTTATCTTGTAAGTGTGGTTTTCTGTGAACTGCATTGTACCGGTTCTCAGTAAACATGTAATAGTGATTGAGTGAGCTTTCAGTGTAAGTTATGCAGCATTGAAGGCTTATATGACTGGGTAATCACCCCATTCAATCACATTTATGTTAAATTAAGCCGACTTGACCAGCCGACAGAGCTGAAGTGTTGCTAATGTGGGCTGTGATCACCTTCATTTGTATTAGTCCTCATTTGCAATGTGGTTATGTTGAGTAAAAATTATGCAGTAGCTATTAGAGTTACTACTGCCCTGAAAGTAATTAAAATTATCCACTCTTTGCAAGCATGAAAGCTCATTTGTGTTGGTAAATTCCATGAAAATCCACCATTTGATTTGATGTGACAACAAAATTAGTCAGGAAAATGTGTGAAATTGGTCACAATTAAGCATCAGAATCCCTTGTTCATTGGTCATTTAACCAGAAATAGCACAAAACATAACATTAACCTCCAAGCATATCCTACGGTGGCTAGGAAGTATATCCATTGGCCAGAGTAGTCTCCAAGGCTAATGGTCACTCTTCTGGCCAATGGATACTGCCTTGCCACCGTATGATCTGCTTGGAGATTACAGAATATAGCCCCCTTCCTACATGTATGTACTCTGGAATCCAAACTCGCTGTCCGGGCCACAAAAGCCCTTCGCCCGCTGGTGTAAATTACCGCTACGGGGAGTCTAGCCCGGGGGGAGTTTGGCCAGCCAACTCCCCTCTGGCTCAACTCCCCCGTAGCGGTAATTTAGGCAGGGGGGGCGAAGGGCTCTCAGCTGCCGAAGGAAAACGGCTAACGGCCCAATACTAGTTTGGCATCCAGGGTAACATGTATGTGGCTCTAAATGAAGCCCCAACATGTGGTAATTATCTTACATTTTGACATCCGATGTTGTGAAAACAGCTCCAACATACCATACATTACTCCCTACATGGTGGAACCAGGTTTGCTGAGTGATATGAACTGTGTGGCATTCTTGATAAAATGTCTGGCTCAATTGTACCCTTCGTTTGTTCAACACTGACACTCAATTCTGCACTGTCTGGCCTTGCATCTTTTTAAAAAAGAACTCTACAGTTCTACATTTTCTGTACAATTGCAGACACATAAGGCAGGAATGTTCAAGTCTGTACTTAATTATCCTCTTCATGTTCGAAAAATTGTATCAGCACCCTTAATTTTGAAAAAATTGGTCATAGGTTCCCCGGATGACCCCTAACCTGGGGCCAACGGTGCTTCTGCAAGTTCAACAAGTGAAAAATACATGATACATTGAATTAGCCTTCAGGCATGGCTTTGTAAATAAATAAGATAATAGTAAATAATAAATATGTGCATTTTCTCCTAGGTACGAGTACCACTGGGCGGATGGTACGACCATCAAGAAACCGATCAAGTGCTCAGCACCCAAGTACATCGACTACCTCATGACTTGGGTACAGGACCAGCTAGATGATGAAACATTGTTTCCCTCCAAAATCGGTAGGAAGGACTTTTTGTTTTGTTATGATTGTATTTTATGTACATGTATTTGTTTATTGTATTATGATTGTGTTCTGTTACTAGTTGTGTATTTGAAGTCCACATTTTGGATGTAATTCTATGGTTAAATGTAATAGTTTATGTACCTTTGTTCAGACGATCAGTTGATTTAGATTTCTGGTTTCTAAAGTTCTAATACTGTAATTCACTTTGTGTTCGCATTAACAAAAGTTCACAGTCTGAATAAAAATAGAGGTGTATATGGAACTATATGTTTGCGGTGGCAGCAGGTGCAGAAAAAAGGAAGCCTGCAAATTATTTGTCCACAGTAATGACAAGTATGCAGTACCAGTACAGAAGTGACCATGAACATAAAAGTACAAAAAAAAATCAGGAACTAGAAAGGTAACATTTGGCAAGTGCATAATGTTTACCTTCGCATATGGTCTGCTCTGTTAATTCTTACTCAAACACATTTTTATACAAGAGTCTAAATCCCTCTTGCTATAAAATTGCAACATAATGTAACCCAACCCACGGTAACAGACATAACATTGGTTCAGGTCATTTAGGTCACTGTTTGGAGAAGAAGAAGAGGAAGAAACTGAGCAAAAACAATGTTACCCTTCGGTAAACGTAATTACAGTTATCTTCTGTTTTGCTCCAGAAGAAGAGGAAGAAACTGAGCAAAAACAATGACATTATCCTTCGGCAAACATAGTTACAGTAATTTTCTGTCTGTTCCAGGTGTGCCTTTCCCAAAGAACTTCGCCTCCATAGCCAAGACCATCCTGAAGCGGCTTTTCCGCGTCTACGCGCACATCTACCACCAACACTTCCAGGAGGTAGTGCAGCTGGGGGAGGAGGCTCACCTCAACACGTCCTTCAAACACTTTGTGTTCTTTGTGCAAGAATTCAACCTGATAGAGAGGAGAGAACTGGCTCCTCTACAGGAACTTATAGAGAAACTGACTCAGAGGGACAGGGAAAAGTACCCGGAGAAAAAACGATGAAATATTATTATTAGGGGAGGGAAGTAGCCTCTACCAGGCACCACGGATCGCTGGAAAAATAGTAGAAATTGGCCGAAATAAAGGGATAGTATACCCGAGAAGATCCCAGGCCATAGAAGGTCCAATTGTTCTTGAAGAATGGTTGCCATAGATGATACCTGGGTCGCAAATTGGATCTTCTGTGGCCTGGGATCTTCTCTGGTATACTATCCCTCTATTTCGGCTAATTTCTACCATTTTTCCAGCGATCTGCGGTGCCTGGTAGAGGCTAGGAGGGAAGGGACTCGGAGCCAGTCTGTATATACCCATAGGTTCTTACACAAACACAACGTTACCTGTGTTGGAAGGAAGTTTAGTTGTTCGCAAAAGAATCTGATACTGTAAATTTTTTCATGTTCGCGGTAGCAAAATTTCGCGGCCTGAGAAAAATGGACATGTTCAGGGAACTACATCTTTGAGGTGGTGGCAGGTGCAGAAGAAAGAAAGTCGGTGAATTATTTGTTGTTGGTAATGACAAATTCACGGTCACTACCACAAATATGAAAGTATCGCAAATATCAAGTGATTTGCAGTATTATTACACTTTACAGTCAGAACTGCCCAAGGCAAGAGGACCACCCAGGGGACTGTTGAAATCTTGTGTCAATAGGGAAACTATGTGGTTACATTGGCAAGAGGGTCATTATATAGAGGGTGGTCACTTGTGCAGGTTTGACTGTATTTTGAGTCTGATGTGGGGACAATTTTTGGATATTGTAGCCCCAAAAGTGACACCTTCAGTTGCAATACTATACAGAATACTACGTCACCAGCATTCTTTATTGAAAAGTTCGTTGTTCGTTCATTTGCAAGTTTGTTGTGATTTCCTAAAAAAACACAGATCTGCCAATTTAAAGGCTCAGGGATGGTCATGGTTTCTTTTTTTGTAAAAAAAAATTGTTATGATGGTTTTGTCTTGTTTTGAGAGCCAAAAAAATTTAACCGAAATGAGAAACATGGTGTATACATATTGGCTTCAAGGTAGGTTAGATCGTATTAACCAGAAATATGGTTAGTTGTATATTAAAGTCATAACAATATTAATAATAATAAATAAGGCTACCTAGAGATGTACAATGGAATATATTTTCAGAGGAAGAGAGGGAATAGCAGTGGCCATACGGATAGTTGATAAAAATTACCCCCATGAATTTGGAGGTATGCCTTAGGTAGAGAAACCTGGGATATGAAAGTAACTTAAATCTCAGGAATTGGTCTTAGATTCCATAGATAGAGGGAAGAAGGAACATTTTTGAAGGAGAAGGTTTAGCAAATTCTATAGTTCAGGTCACAGCAGCACAGTAGAGGGTTAGCTGTTATGGACTACAAGATTGTGTTTCAAAGAAACGGTAGAAGTCAGTCTCACAGAGCACATTATGGAGATACATCAAGAACTCACCAAACTGTCTTACAATATACCTTTATGAAGGTTAAACATCCGGGAATGAATTTTTCAGTTCTATACCACTGGAAAGAAATTTTGGCTAGTTCACAGGAATTTCAGTTGCCTGAATGGCATCTGAAATGTTAATTCAATGTAAAATTTCAGTTGTATATATTGAATAAAGGAGAAAAAAATCATTAGAAACATACAATGAATGACTTGATTCCTTCATTGATAAAAAAATGTAGTCTCTCATTCATTATAGTGATTCTGACACACAAATGATACCACAAGAATTACAATGTAGGAGACAAAAATATAATCACCATTCACAGATAGAAAGTCTGATCAAGTTGTGAGGCATGATTTTAATTTGCACTTTTCCCGGTGATAAGTGTTATGTATCAGTGATTTTGTTTGTTTACTATTGCATGCGATGGTAATATTAAATAATTAGATGCAGAATTCTCCCTTGTGGTCCACTGCAAAGAAGTTTAGACTTAACTTCTAGAGATTTTAAGTTACTAAATTTCATACCCTAGTTACTGGTAACTAGGTACATACAGTTGGAATTTCCCATAATGCATCTCACATTAGGTCGGCAGGGTCAAAAGTCAAAGTGCAAAGGTTACAGTTCATGCGATTAAGAAACGTTTCCCCTGTTTCGTGTTCTTCAGTTATTTTTTTTCTCGATGATATGATGATGATACCATAAGGTTTTTATTTTGGTGTAGGCTGTGTTACCTAGTGTGGTTACCAAACCTATTTTAGCTCCTGAGTCCTACATCCTCTCTAAAATAGGGTTAGTAACCAGGCTAGCGTTAGCTTGAAAATCTGTCAAAACTCTGTTTAATATACTTTGAAAAATATATATTCTGGGTACAGGAATGTGATGTAAGAATGTATTCTCTAATATTATTACAGTTTCTCGCCACCTATTCCTCCACAGCCTCTTATTGTACATAGCAAGGCAGAGAATCTATTTTTAGGTTGGAAAAATTTCAGCTACAAGCACACCACTAGTTACTGTGTTGCTGCTGCCTACATGTTTAAGTTTCTTCACTGCCAGATGTGCTACAGTTTAATATCATAATTATAGTCTCCATCAGACTCCTTTGCAGGCTGAACAAATAGAAGAAATCAGCCTAAAAAGGATGTACAAAATGTAGCTGGCCATGGAAGTTAGGCGGCCATAGAGGGTCCAGTTTGCTACTCTCCAAGCAGAGGTTGTGGGGGATGATCGTTAGCTTTTTACATATGGCCGTTTTTGTCGCTACCCCCACCAACAGTGACCAGCGACCTTCTCTGGCTAATGGATACTGTCTTGCCACCGAAGGGGGTCTGCTTGGAGATTACCAATTTGTCTCAATGCAGGCAAACTGGACCCTCTACGGCCAGCTAACTCACTTGGCCAGTTACATTCTTTTAGGCCGATTTCTACTATTCATTGAGCCTGCAATGGAGTCTGGTGGAGACTTAATCATATTAGTCCTGGGCCAATTATGTATCTGTCCCATTCTTCTGTATATATGCCTTGAAACTAGCTGATGTACAATGTTTATATTGTCTCTGTATACTGTTATAACCCTATTGTTGCTTTTCATCCTACATGTAGAATGACTTGACAGTTTTGAAGAACTGTTATTATTCGTTGTGACCTTTATAAATATGATTTAGGAACTGTACAATGTATGTGTTTCACTTATTGTATGTCTACTACATGTCTGCACTGTCAATTCTCCATCGGACTTATTGGGTTGTTGAAAAAAAGTACTATAGAAACTGGCCAAATAAGGTAAATAATTTGCCATCTGCTAGTATGGGTAAGGCTACAAAACCAGGGTAACGCTCAGCATAGTTTTGGGCACATTTTCAGACAATAAGACAAACTTGGAGCATCCCTTGCCTGTTACTGTAGTACACAAACACTGGGCCATGCCACAAGCCTATGATCTACAGGTAAAATAAATGAAATGCTTATGTGTAAACCTACGGATAGCAATATGAGTTGGCATGAGACTAGTGACTTATTAGCCTCCGTAGCAGGCTTATAGAACTGGGGGTTTGGTGGTCTTTGTTTTCTGATTAGCCCAGTTCGGGGGTAATTCAACCAGGCCAGCTATGTTGTCTATTTGCAATCAGAAAATAGCACATAAAAGCTCCCAAAGACCCCCAAAACCCCCAGTTTTTGGGCATGCTATGGAGGCTAGTCAATTGTACTCCTTTTGAGTATTGCTGCTTTGAAGATCATGTTATCTCGACAGATTAGTAGGTCACAGTTGAATGCACTAGATGGAAACAGGTGGTGCCTTTGCCTATTTTATCGTTATAGTTTGACAGAAGGATTCCTACATTGTGTTCTCACTGATCAACATTTAATTTCACAGTAGGCTGTTCCTACCCATTCATAACATCTTTAGATTGTTCTCTGGGGGATACAAAATACATGGAACAATTCCACTTCAATAACACAATTCCACTAGATTTAACAACAGAGTTTCCAACTCTGAATCCGACTCTGAAGTTAATTCACCAGATGAACTGTTACTGTCCTCTTGTGAATTGAAAACTTTTAAACTTGTGGTCAGGAAACCTATTTATTAGTAGTAGTCAATCATTCTTATCATTTCATGATAATCTAGCCCTGAATGTTGTACTATACCCAGTAGTATTTCCCCAGAATATTTTTTCTCATTTTTAGAAGCTCCAAAGGCATCTGACTATAGTGGAAGGGCTGTTAGAAGCGTGATGTAGTCAGGTACAAACGTTTTACACATGGCATTCCATGTTAGCTCAGTACTTAGTCCCAACACATACATGTATGCAAAGGAGTGCCTTACTCAAGGGTTTTAAACATAGCTTCAGGCCACACCAATTTAATTTCTTGGTTAACGGATTCGCCTCTTCATTTTTTTCTGATTTGCAAATAAAAATAAAAATTCAGAATCAACTGCAAAATGCTCATATTTTGCCCTGAACAGTTGAAAACAGTCCTTTTCTTATTACTTGTTACAGTCATTCCATCTTTCAATGCAGTGCTACCATTAAAAGTTCAAAATTAATTGTTTAAATTTTGAACCAGCCTGGTGTGTTGACTTAATGGCTCCTATCGTACCATTTTGGGCCATTTTGGATGCCTAGGCCTGTTT